ACTTCTGAACCCCAGGCTAGCTCACTGTGTCATCTGTCGCTATCTTCCAAGGACTGTGGGTCTTGAAAGGAAATGTGTTTGGAAACAGCATCCGGGTTCTTGAGTGCACTGAGTGAGTGGCCGTGGCTATGAAGTGCCGCTCAGATGACTTCAGGAGGGCACCAGCCACTCTCCTTCCCACGGTGTGACCAGAGCCTGTGCTGGGATGCCAACCACACGTGGACCCTGTTCTACTGGCTGGGATTTTTATTGCTGGTTGTAGGTGTTCTGCATGTAGCTTGGATACTGATCCTTTGTGTCTGTGTGCTACAAACACTTCCAAATCCACCACCTCTCGTAGCTTTCTTTGGAGGACTTTTGTACAAAAGTCCATTTATCTACAGTCACACTATTCTTTATGACTTCTGGGTCTGCAGGAGAGTAACTCAGGGGACTGTGTTCCCAATAATACTAAAACTATTCAAAATTTATACGCACGCGCGCGCGCGCGCACACACACACGTATGAGTCCTAAACTCATCTGCAATTGATTAAGGTATAAAATAATAAACAAATTTAAATTTCTTTCTAAATGGATAATTAGCTGTCATCAACATCTGTCAAAATTTCACTGGGATCAGCAAAAACCCAGCAATCAACTGCCTGGGTTGGGGTCCTGGGCCACCATATATTCTCTTTGTGCAGAAGCTGCCTGCTCTCTGCATGTATAGGATTTTCTCATCTAGGAAATATATTTTTTACACTTCAGAGCCAGGTGTAAGTCTATGTCTGTAATTCTAGCGAAGGTTCAAGGAGCTTGAATTCAAGGTCAGCCTGGACTAGATAGAGGAAAGAAAGAAGAGGAAGAGAAGATGAGAGGAAGAGAAAACAGAAAATAAATTAATCTTGAGACTATATTTTACAAAGTAGAAAGTAGAAGAAGACAAGATCTCCTGAGTAAATTGGGAGCATGGGGACCTTGGGAGAGGGGAGAGGCAGGGAAGAGAGCAGAGAAAAATGTAAAGCTCAATAAAAATCAATAAAAAAAAAGAGTTGATGAGAATATAGACCAAAAAAAAAAAAAAGACTATATTTTACTTAGCAAAACTGTGGTAGTTTGAATGTAATTGGCTCCCAGAATCTCACTGAGATTGGCATTAGCAGGTGTGGCTTTGTTGGAGTAGGTATGGTCTTGTTGGAGGAAGAGTATTACAATAGGGGAGGGTTTTAAGGTCTCATATATGCTCAAGATACCACCTAGTGTTTCAGATCACTTCCTGTTGCCTGCAAGATGTATGACTCTCAGCTATTTCTCCAGCACTATGTCTTCCCTGACCCACAATGATGATAATGCACTGAACCTCTGAAACTGTAAAGCCACCCAATGAAACGTTTTCTTTGTAAGAATTGCCATGACCATGATGTTCCTTAACAGCAATAAAAATCCTCAGACACAAATATAGCTGAAACAGTATTTCAACATGTAAGCAATATGAAAGTTAAGGTATTTTTGTGTGAGTATGTGTTGTGTATGTGTGTGTGTGTGTTGTATATTTTAAGTGTTTAATAATATCTGTCACCCAAGAAAAGCACACCAGACCTTGTGGAATAATCTTTTTGTATACTGTGAATATGTGTCACTCAGACTGATTTAATAAAAAATGAACAGCCAATATTTAGGTAGAATTTTCAGGGCAGAGAATGCTGGAAAGAAGAAGAGTAGAGTCTCAAGGAGATGCCATGAGTCCCATGGCAGCACGGAGATGAATAAAAGTCAGTTAATTTAGGTAGTAAGCGTGGTTAGAAACAAGCCTAAGCTATCGACCAAGCTTTCATAACTAATAAGAAGTGTCTGTGTGGTTATTTGGCAGGAGGACAGAAAAATCTGCCTACACCTCATTGATTTAGTTGTGTAATTTTTTGAAATATCATATCTGCACAGGTGGAAAAGTACTTAAAAAGTTGAAGTCTGCTTAAGATTGAGAAAAATCTCTTGGAAAGCCAAAACAAGAATTTCTTAGTATAATAAAGTTATCTATTACAACATATATTATTTTATATGATACATGCACACATGTTCTGTGGAACACTGGTACAGGCTTTCCCTCTACAATCTGAGAAAATGAAAGCTGCCCACCATCAATGGCTTAATTTTCTATACTAGTTTCCCTCTAGCAGGAATCCCTGAAAGGATTAAACTCACGCAGCAGCCAATTACACAGGGCAGAAAGGCCAGAGGAAGGACTGGGAAGGGGAAATGAAAACGTTATCTCTCAGTTGTTTTGACTGTCCACACACAGGGGAAAGTGTCAGACCCATCACAGAGTTTAGTTAGGCTGCTGACCACAAATTCTCACGTCAGCAGCTCAAGCGCCCAGTCAGGAATTTATCACAATGTGCAAAACTTTAAAAAAAAATCTAAATGTTATAGACTTTCTAAAGAAGCAGAGAGGAGCGTGCTCTCACACAGAAGGCTTCAGCACATTAAAGGGGTCAGTTTCTCCCAGTGACCTCCAGAAAGTGTTACTCAAGTCATTTTAGGGATTTGGGGGTGTCATGGTGCTGTACAAGACACAGAGCTCAGAAATCTCTCTCCAGAGAAAAACTTCTAACAAATGATGGGGCTGGCACATGGATGTAGCCCTCATACTCATACTACAGACAGGGGTGTAAATGTTCATGTAACATCCATAGCAACACTGGAAACCACTTAAGAGTCCATCAAAAGTACAGCCAATGTTCCTAAATTGTGGAGTGTTACTACATGCTGGCAAACAAAACACAGCATAGCAAACCTGAACATCTCTATCTCTCTCTGTCTCTCTCTGTCTCTCTCTCTCTCTCTCTCTCTCTCACACACACACACACACACACACTTCAAAACAGAAGAATTTTTACTAAATACAAAACAACTGCAGATTCATGAAGGCAGCTTCTAGCATGGAAACTCGAACACAAGTCTCCCATGCACCCTTTGCTAAGAAATTTCTAGAGGACTTCTGAGAATGTTACTGACACCTAAAATAGGACAAGGGGTCCTCAGTTACTCAATGTGATTCCACATAGAACGTGGCACGGTGGTTGCAGGACACTTCAGGAGGGAAGTCAAAACCCAAAAGTCCCCAGCAGAGCCTGTCTTGAGAAGGCTCCAGGGTCCTTCATGGGAAGAATGGCTACCTGGAGGTGGGAGCAGGCAGAAGACACTGTGGTTGGGCAGGAGGTAGAGAAGGGTGAGTTAAAATAAAAAAACAGAAAAACAAAACAAAGAACCTGAGAGTTTCAAAGAAAAGCAAACAAAAGACAAACTGATGCAATCGGTAGCTCCAGGAAAGGCTGCAGAGGACAGAGACCACGCGGTTCTGTCCCCTCCTATAGTATTGGGGAGGGGGATCCTGAAATGAGTACTGTGGGGCACACTATGCAAAGACTTAACATTCTGAAAATTACTATAACCTGAGAATTGTATCAGTGTTTGAACATCCTTACAGCAACGCTTAAGGGACTGAGGGATGCTTCAGTCCTTAGTGCACGAGCTGCTCTTCTAGAGAAAAGGGTTTGGTCCTAGCACCAAATTCCCCAAAAAGAAAGTCCCATCTACACTCCTGCCACCTCCAGTTCTGGAAACTACCAGCTAGCCTTTCCGTGAGCCTTTCCGTCTGGTAAGGTCTTTTACGTACACGTGGCCTTTAGTGACTGGTTCTGGCACTAATCTGTCTTCAAGCTTCAGCCATTCTACACCTTCCAGCTCTTCAATGCCTCAATAATCCTTATTAGATCATCCACAGCCCTGCGCCTCCCCGCTGACAGGCACCTAGGCTATGTGCACTCTTTGGCTCTTCTGATTGGTGCTGCTCTGTTTACTCCTCGATGTCTCTATATGGTTCATGACCTTACACTTTTGCATGTAGCATTTTGATCAGTGGTTTCTGCTTTTCTAGATCTAACAGCCTTCACAGTCCACTCCAGAGCCCCTCTTTCAGCTGCTTGTCTACTGTGGCCACAGAAAAGGAAACAGAGTGCTGGCTCAGATTTCTGAGCCTCACTTCTACGCATTTTGATTTTATGGCCTACAAGCACTGTTCTCCACTGAACACGTCTGCTGAACATGCCAGTGTCTTAGGTACCACCCAGCAGTCATGTCAAGTGTCCCATCCCATGGTGTAAGTACTGACCATCCCATCAGAAAACAACCAAATGATTTCAATATGGCATTGCTATAGAAACACTTCTGGTCAGGACACAGGGAAATCTGTTCTGTATCTGGATTAAGGTAATACAGTACAAGCACTTGCAGTGTATTTTAAAACTACAGTCCCTGATTACTTTTAGTAGTTGGAGATACAGGACATAAAAAGGGGAGGAGGGGGATTATTAAATTGCTTCATATTTTTCTCTGCATTCTAATGCAAATTCAGTTAGGAGATTTAAGACAAAAATTTTAGCCTTCACCAAAAAAATTGATTGTGGTGCAAAATTTAAGCTCACTTATGAAGGAGCTCGCTGGCAGAGCAGAGCAGTACAGACAGGTATGTAATGATATTTTGTTTATGTTTTAAAAAATAAGCTTGCCTGAAGATCAGAGTGCAGACCTAAGCCAGCAGAGGCCAGGGAGTGGTGGTACACACCTTTAATCCCAGCACTAGGGATGTGGAGACAGAAGTGATATGGCTGGGTCTGGAAAGAGAAATATAAGGTAGAAGGAGATAGGAGTTCACTGCAGTCTGAGGTTTGTTGAGACAGATGCAGTCTGAAGACTGCCCCTGAAGTCAGAAGATGAAGTCTGAGGAGACAGTCTGAGCACTGGTAGAGGGAAAAGGTCTCTGGTGGCTGCACCGCTTCTCTGATCCTTCAGCTTTCACCCACAATATCTGACTCCAGGTTTTATTTATTAAAACCAATTAGAATTCAAGCTATAACAGGTGGGTGTGGTCTCTGCTGCTGTCAAACATGTTCCCTTCTTGTTTCGTCTCTCTTCTTCAGTCTAAATTACACAGCCCCGTCTTTGTAAAACCACAGACCAATGTTACAAAATGAAGCACTCCACCCATCCTCCTAGTCAGCTGACAAGCCACCAGACCAGGAGCTGCTCCTACCACACGGACCCAGGAGCTCCAGCCGTTCCACTGAGGTCAACTAGGCCAACAGCTCTTCGACACTGGCCACAGATGTTAAACAAAGGTGAGAACTATGCTTGGTCTAACCTTTGCTTTAGAAAGCAGAGGTTGGTTCAAGAATAAAAAATGAAAACACCTTTAAATCTATTGTTTAAATGTTACTTAGGTCATTGTCTAAATGCTTGTTTAAAACAAGTAATAGCAACAGGAAAAAAACCTGAGTCCAAAAATACTCCATCAGGTTTAGAAGCAAATCAGAGAAGCTAACGTTAGCCAAAGAAACAAGTACTGTCGCAGGTACCCAGCAGGGCCATGGTCCAGTATGCAGCACTTGTTGGCAAGCCATTTAGACATCAACTAAAATGTCAAACAATGTGACTCTATCAGGCTACATAAAGACATCTGTGTAGGGCTGACATCTGGAATCTGTCACCTTGTTTCACAGTGGCTCAAAATGGGCTCCCTGGGCAACCTGAACTCTTCTGTTCCGTGTCCACCCAGAACGGTCCCTGATAACAAGAACTCTGGGAGACAAAGAGTACAGGTAGTACTTGTGGACATCAGTTATTTCATTCTATTTTTACATTAAAAATTTAGAGAGTGTGTCTGTCTCCATGTGTGCGCATGCATGTGTGTGTATGTATGTAACAAGTGGGATTAAGCACACACCATGATGCCCTTGTGGAGGTCAGTAGACAACTTGGGGGAAGCTGTCTTCCCATTCCACCAGGGACTGAACACAGGTTGTCACTCTCAGCAGCTAGCGCCTTTACCCAGAAAGCCTTCTTACCAGCCCAGCCCATCAGTTATTTAATTCTAAAGATTCTGGTTCAGAGATTATACCTCTTGGAAAGAAATGGAGAAATTTACAAACGTGCAGCTTATTTCCCGGATGTCTGACACTAGTGGTCACTAGTCATAGGCTGATGGTTTGATTGCCACTGTCTGATTCCTTGTTATACGTCTCTAGTCAGTTCAGAACGTGGAAGGGAAGGAAGAAAACTATTGCTCTCTCTTGCTGTCAAGGAAAGTGCTTCAGTGTTGTAGTGCTGCAGAAAGAACCCAGGGCCTTATGCACCCTAAATAAATATTCTTATCTAGCCACTAAGCCACACCCCGAGCCCTCTTTGTTTAAAACTGGGTATTATATAGCTCAGGCTGGCCTCAAACTCAAGATCCTCCTGCTCCAACCTCTCCAGGGCTTAGACTGGAGATACATGTCACTACATTCTGCTTTTCTGAGCCCTAAAGTATGTCTGAAGTAGAGGACACTGGAAGCCAATAAGAACATGAGAATGATGCTGGTGGACTCAAAATGAGGGGTCGGATGGCTGCAGGCACTGCTAGTTAACCACAGGGCTTACAAACTGACCTTAGAAAATCTATCAGATCACAACATTAATTAAGCGGTAATAAAAATTAGAACAGAAAACAGTATAAAATGATGATCTGTCATATTGCAGTTATGAAAGGACCAATTTCTCCAAATTTAAATTAGTATAATTACTTAAATATAATTATTGCCATCTAATTCATCAGGGACACAAATCACTAACTCTCAGAATAACCTATAATTAAAAGCTTAGTTCCAAAGCAGAAGATCATCCATCTACCTGGCAGTTCAAATACTAAATAATCTCCCTAAACAACAGAGTTATTCTCAAGTAAGTTTTAGAAAGAATCCTTTAGGGCTGGGGTAGAGCTATGTTACAGCAATTGTCTAGCAAGCTTGAGACCCCAGGTTCTACCCCCAGAATTATAAAAATACATAGGCATGTGAGTGGGTGCGCACACACGGACACATGCACACTTTTTTTTAAAAAAATTATTTATTTAATGTATATGAGTGCTCTATCAAATTTATTGCCAGAAGATGGCTCAGATTCCACTATAGATGATTATGGTTGCTGGGAACTGAACTCAGGTCCTCTGGAAGTAGTTAATGTTCTTAACCGCTGAGCCATCTCTTCAGAGACCCTCCGCACACATACACTTTTAGAGATTAACAACTGAGTAGTGACTGTGTGTGATCTATAGTTTGCCAAGGCCTCCTGATGACAAGAGGGAATCCTATTTTTCTTAGGTATGGGTGAAGGCCAAGTAACCATCAGAAGCTGTGCTGTGTTGTGCCCAAATGTCATGGACAAATACCAAGGTATCAGTCTATTTTCATGGGGCTGAAGATGGCACCCAGGTCTTCACATTTATCAGGTAAGTGCTCTGCCACTCGGCTACAACCCCACTTATCTGGGCGTCTCTAACTGGCTGTTCCTGGGCAGGCAATGTTTTCCCTATTAAACATAAAACAGTGATTTTAGTGGACTCATTTTCTAAAGTCTAACACATTTGAGAGCACACAGGCCTTATGAAAGATGCCCTGTCAGTCACTATGGGGCTCAAGAATGCTGAGAAGGTAGAAAAAGTTCAACCACAAGCCTGTGTTCAACAAACCCAGGAAACTAAATGAGGATTAGTCACGGAGGTAGAAAAGCAGACATCATGTCACCATGGTTTTAACCACTAAGAAACCCTCATCTGAGCTCAACAACTCCAGATACTGCTGATAAAACATCCCCTCTATATGGAAATCACCAAGTTTCCTTGGCTAAATATTCTCAGTCATGGGCAGTACAAAAAGACCTGAGTGTGCAAAGTCCTGAGTGGTATGTGTAGTTGGTATGAGATAGCCACATGAAGGACCATGCCACAGACCCATGGGAAAATGGCAAAGCCTTCCCTCCCAGTCCAAGTGTAAATGTTGACAAAGTGCACAAAATGTCCACTGTAGCTTTCTCCCCACCAGATGTTTACAGCCCAGAAACTGCTCCTACATAGCTAAACCTGACTCCTTGTTCAACTGTACATAACAGATATGCTGAGCCTCGGAGCTAGGCGTCTCCATTAGGGAGCCCAGCCCACCCAACCCCAATTTCTCTGTGCTTCTCTATGTTTGTCTTTTCTTCATTCCCCTGCCACTACAGTTATTCAAATCCTTGATGCTGTGGAAGGACTCAGCACCTGTTCTTTTCTCTAGCAAGGATGCAGCCTCTCTGGAAGCTGTCCAGTCTGAGACCTGTGTGGCACACCCACCACAATAGGCTGAGGCACACCCAACAGACTGAGACATGCCCATCACAACAGGCTGAGGAACACCTGTCACAACTGGCTGAGGCACACCCGTCACACAGCAGACTGAGGCACACCCGTCACAATAGGTTGTCAGGCACACCCATCACAATAGGCTGAGACACACCCATCACAACAGGCTGAGGCACACCCGTCACAACAGGGTGAGGCACACCCATCACAACAGGCTGAGGCACACCCTCACAACAGGTTGAGGCACACCCATCACACAACAGGCTGTGGCACCCCACCCATCACAATAGGCTGTCAGGCACACCCGACACAACAGGCTGAGGCACGCCCATCACAACAGGCTGAGGCACACCCTCACAACAGGCTGAGACACACCCATCACAACAGGCTGAGGCACACCCATCACAATAGGCTGCAGCACACACACCCATCACAGTAGGCTGTCAGGTACACCCATCACAATAGGCTGAGGTACACCCATCTCAATAGGCTATCCTCTGAGCACAGCAGCCTCCATCTTCATCTCAGCATTGTGACTCCTTGCAGGGGACCAGGACTGGCTTGCTGACCACTGATGTTCCCTCACTGAGGGAAGTAGGAAAGGCCACTGGACTTCACCTGAGACTCTGGTTGCTCCCCCTGCATATCCTGGAGATCTGTATGTAACTTGACTCTAACTGACATGGCCTCACAGTCTTGGTAGGTGCTAAGCCAAGCAAAAAGAGGAAGGTTAACTGAAGGGAGGACACTTTGTATGCAGCCACGGGGAAGTTGTCCATGCTGGATAAGACTTTCTGAGTGTGTGGTCACTTTGGGGTCATGCATGTTTCTGTAAGTAATCCCTCACCCATGCTCTGTAAGTATGCCTGACAAACTCACAGGTTCTCTAGGTTGGATGTTGGTGGATTTGTGTTTTGGGTTATCACCTGTACTAAGGAGGGGGCAGACCTCTGCTTAAGTCACTCCAGGGAAAAGGCTCCATAGCAAGGTGTTTAAGACATACCTGCTGAGTAAGTGAACTGAAAAATGACCTGGTAGGGCTAGGGAGATGGCTCAGTCGAGAAAGTGCTCACCACTCAAGGATGAGGACCTGAGTGAGTATCCATGGCAGCCAGCACAGCAGCATGAGGCTGTGGATCTCAGCACTGGAGAGGTGGAGACAGATTCTCGGAGTTCATTGTTTAGGTTAGACTGGCTGGCCAATGAGCTCCAAGTTCAGTGAGAAATCCTGTCCCAAAATATGAGGTGAAGCTGAGCGTGATGGCACATGCCTTTAACTTCAGCATTTGGAAGCCAGAGGCAGGTGGAGCTCTTCTGATGCCAACCTGACTTAATATAACAAGTTCCAAGGCTAGCCAAGGCCACACAGGGAGACCCTGTGTGAAAACACAACAGCAAACGAGGCAGAGAAAACAGGGAAGGACATCCAACACCACTTCTGGCCTTCACACTCATGCCCCACGGACACATCAGACCCACAACTTGGGGAAAAAAAACAGCTATAATTTCGACTGATAGACACGAGTAAGATTTACTGACAAATTTCATTCCCACCAACACTGAGACAGACTTAAAAACATTTTTAGGAACTGCATCAAGGTAGCTCTCACAATAAATAAATAAATATATTTTAAAAGGGCTCAGAGGTTAAAAAGCACTATTCTTCCAAAGGACACAAGTTCAATACACACACACACACACACACATTAAAAAATATTTTTTAAAAGAGCACATCACAAAACATTCCATATTTCCAAAAAAGACTTAGGAGAAAGAACAGGTAGGAGAATAGGTACAAGAGAAAAACTGAAAGGTGATCACACCCAATGCTAATGGAGAGAGTGGAGGGTCACACACTCCTCTACTTTTGCTTATGTTTGAATATTTCCATAATAATTTTTTCAAAATATGCACAAGAGCTAAAGTAAAGTAAGAAGGCACAATCATTGCCAAGTAAAGCATACCGCCTGCCTGACCCCACGGAAAGACAAACTGCCACCCTGAAAACCCTTGGGGCAGACAGCGTGGCCTCACTCTTCTGAAGGTCTCCTGTGTCTGGCACCCAGGCAGGGAAGGTGGAGGGGTCCTGTGGGACACTTCCTCTCTGCTGTAGAGACCAGGGCCCGTGCCTAGCACAGCTGGCACCAGGCCAGGGGCTGCCTAGCAATGGCAGTCGTATGTAGGGAGGATACCTCTTCAAAGAAACAAAACAGAAAACCACACAAAGGCACTCAGGAAGCTAAAGTAGGTGGGTAGTTAAACTCAGTAATTAGAATAAAGGAGCAAAGGCAGCCAGGTTCGGGTATTTTTTGCTTCTTTGATCTGCTGAATCTCTTCTTAAGAACTTCTGAAAATGTACAGCTCTCTAAGGGGAATTCTGAATGGCCCAGGGCAAAATCGCAGAAATCAAACTAGAGAGTCACAGTTGGGGAAGTGTAACCAGCCAGCACACCCACCCTGTGCAGCAGTGATGGCACAAAAGCCTGCCTGCCCTCATCAACACCATCTATATAGGGAACAAAGGCAACCACTCTCTAGCCAGCCCACGCCGTCACCAGCCTGTGCAGTCTGCCACAAAACCTTGTGAAGGATACTCTGAGGCTCCTGGGGTTGGTGGTCTACATCTAGGGTCTCCAAAATTTCAAGCCTTAAAAATACATAACTGTGTGTGTGTGTGTGTGTGTGTGTGTGTGTGTGTGTGTGTTTATATCCGTGTGTGTGTGTGTGCGTGTGTGTGTGTGTGTGTGTGTGCGTGTTCAGTCATTTCTAGCTCCCAGCCGGAAGTAACTTGGTTCACTAGATATAGATAGATTGGAAAGTCAGAATAAATTGCTTTAAATTTTTATTTGTTTCATTGGTTTTGGTTTTTTTGAGACAGGGTTTCTCTGTGAAACAATTCTGGCTATCCTAGAACTCACTCTGTAAACCAGGCTGGCCTTGAACTCACAGAGATCTGCCTGCTTCTGCCTCCCAAGTGTTGGAGATTAAAGGCATATGCTACTACCACTGTTCGGCTGTAATTTTATTTTAATAAAATAAATAAAATTATGTGTTTATGAGGGTATTTGTGTATGGTTATATGGACATGAGCATGGGTGCCTGAGGAGGCCAGAAGAAGCTATAAGATTCCCTAAAGCTGGAGTTACAGGCAGTTGTAACCTTCCAGATATGGGTGAGGGTGCTAGGAACCAAACTTGGGTCCTCTGCAAAGGCAATGTGTGCTCTTAACCATTGAGCTGTCTCTCTAGAACCTACACTGCTTTTCCTCCTCAGAATGTTTGTATTTTGAGACAGGGTCTCTCTGTATAGCTCTGGTTATCCTTGTGCACACTATTTATAGTAGACTGTCCTGGAGCTCAGAGATCCACCTGCCTATGCCTCCCAAATGCTGGGATTAAAGGTGTATGCCACCATGCCTGGCTTTTATTTTTTTTTAAGAGTGATATATACTCTGCTATATTTTTAAGAAGAAAAACGTTTCAGTGAAGACAAATATGAGTGGAAACGGTTGCTTTCTCACCAGGTGGGCATTATGGATTGTTTCCCCACTCAGCAACACATGCTCAGCTTCCGGAATGCAGGGCAGGCTCACCTAACACTCTCAAGCATGAACCTGGGCTAGCACCTTGGATGGCTCCTGCAGGTCCTCATCCCAGCATGACTGAGCACTTCCTGCCTTTAAATCCAATCTACTGAGGTCCTTGTTTTCTCCAAGGAAGACAAGTCCTCCTAGGATCTGCACCTTTTCTTTCTGCCTTCTGTAGCAGGCTTTCTTTTGGGCCACCAACCAGCTCACAAATCATGACACAGAGAACTTATTATTAGCTATTAATGTTTGGCCTCATCTTATGCTTGCCCCACTAACTCTTATGACTTAATTTAACCCGTTTCTCTTCATCTATGTTTTGCCTCGGGACTTTTATTTACCTTTGTTCTGTATGTACTGTATGTCCTCCTTTTCCTGCTCCTCCCCTGTCTGCTGTCAGCTGCCTGACTGGCTGGCCCTGACAGTCTCCCGCTTCCCTTTGCCTCCCTTGCTCTCTCTTCTCTGGAGTCTAGATTCTTCCTCCTTCTTTTTCTCTCTCCGCCAGCCCTGCCTATCCCTCCTCTGCCTAGCTTGGCAATTCAGCTTTTTATTGGACCAATCAGGTGTCTTAGGCAGGCAAAGCAACACATCTTTACATCATTACACAAATGCAGCATAAGCAAACATATCATACACATCTTTATGTAGTTAAAGTCGCATTCCAAAACAGCCCTTGGCTGCAATGTGGTGAAACCTGACCTGTTTTGGTGTGGAAATGAGCTGGCCTAGGGATATGATAACAAAAGAAAATAAAATCACTGTGACGCCCTCAAGCTGACTAAAGCCCTTCCAGAGCCGCATGTACTGTAAACCACATTTTTCTGTGCTGATTTTTGAGGATATGTAAGTTCCCCTTATTACAATGCTGTGCACACAAGTTTCTATGTTTAAGAAAATGGAAGCTAACAATGGCCAGGAAGGGAAAGGACACCAGCATTTAGCCAGAAACTTGACTTGAGATCTACTCAGCGTAGAAATTAAATTGAGTTCGCCTTCAATACATTTGTGCTCCCCTTCGTCCTCCAGTGTCCACGTGATGTAGGAAAAGGACAGACATCTGAGGAAACAATCATCAAACAAGGTACTTTCAGAATAAGGAACTCCTTTTCCTTCCCAACCCATTGTTCAGACATATTTCCACTGCCTGAAAACAGAAGAGAACTAGCTGTATTCTGGAAGAGAGCACAGAAACACCTTCAGGGCCGGGCAGCAACAACAGAGTCTTCTGACCCAGGACTCTGGTGAGCCAGAGTGGAGGCTGAAAGGATTATTTATGTCTGCCCTTCCCCTTGAATTGGGAAAACACATCCTTCCTTCTTTCTTTTTCTTTTCTTTTCTTTGGGGAGGGGTGTGCTTTTTGTTTTTTGGTTTTTGAGACAGAGTTTCTCTGTGAAGCCCAGGCTGTCCTGGAACTGAGCTCTGTAGACCAAGGGGCCTTGAACTCACAGAGATCTGCCTGCTTCTGCATTCTGAGTGCTGGGATTAAAGGCATGTGCTACCACCTCCTGGCTAGCTACACTCATCTTTCAAGTATATAATAATTATATTTTTCAATAAAATGTGCATTTTTTAAAAAATTATACTGAAATCTCAAAGGCACAAAGTGATGTGGGGACATACACCTTTAATCTCAGCACTCAGGAGGCAGAGGGAGGCAAATCTCTGTGAGTTCCAGACTATCCCTTGTCTACATAGCAAGTTCCAAGTCAGTCACAGGCTACATAGTTAGACCCTGTCTAAAACAAACAAACAAAGCAAGGCAGTGGTGGCACATGCCTTTAATCCCAGCACTCAGGAGATAGAAGCAGACGAATCTCTGTGAGTTCGAGTCCAGCCTGATCTACAGGGCCCGAGTTCCAGGACAGCCAGGGCTACATAGAGAAACCCTGTCTCAAAAAACATAAAAACTAAACAAAACAAATCAAAGGCACAAAGTGTTGCATCACTGTCCCAACAAGCCAAGAGCGGGACTTAACTGCTTTAGCCCACATCCAGCTGCATCAGGAACCAGACCTCCAAACAGACCACAGACCCACAGAGGAGGAAAGCAGATCACGTGCATGAGCTACAAGGGCTCTGGTTCCAAGTAGGACTTACCTGCCATGAACAAGCCTGTGACTTCAGCTCCTATGCTGAAACTGTCTAGGGCAGAGATTTTAGGATTTAGTCAACAAACTTAGAGCCAATGTGCCAAGCCCTGCTAAGCTTGTAGGCTGGTCAGATAACAAGAGGAAGTCCTGTCAACTAAGTGACACAGACAAGCAGGGTCAGAGGTCACTGCAGCAGGAACCCCTGGGCCTCTGAGACATCCCAGACACAGAGGAGCCTTCCTGCTGCCCTGTGGTACACTCCCAAAGTGCTGCTTCCTCTGGAGGCAGAGTCTAGGCTGGGAGATCAGAGAACCATTACACGGTATAAGACAACTTTCCAGGTCTAACCCTAGAAACTCCTGCAGAATCTTGCCTCCTGCATGCTTTGCCACGGCAGTCTGAATAGAGAGCATCCATAAGATATCTCAGTGATAGGTAAAAAAGAAATTGCTCTTTAACTCTCCAGTCAAAACCGGAGTAGCAGGAGGTGGCTGTCAGAGTACCAGCAGGGTCTTCTGAAGCTCCAACCTCTCAGTCCAATTACCAGGTAGTCATCCTCACAAGAGTAATAGTCCACCAAGAGACATCAGAACAAGATGGCATCAGTGCTTCCAGGGCACCTGGATGTGCTCCTGAGACCCACAGACCACAGCTGAGCCTCCGGCACCAGGTGACACAAGACTGATTTTGCAGAAGTCCCTCAAAGACAGTTAGTGTTCTTACTTCACAGTTCTGGACGTAAGCCCAAAGCTCATTCTTAACCTATACTGCCTGAGCTCTCTGGCCTATTGATAACCCTGACCAAA